TCAAGACAATACGCAGCTTGGTTTTATCACACTTGATCGATAGCAGTCATGTAGTAGACAGAAATAAGTCATTTAAAGTTATTCATCATATTCCTACTAGCTTTCTTTATGGGGTTCGATCACATCTGTTATACACAGCAGAAGTTATAGGAATTCGAGCCAATAGTCCAAGTCTTGTGTTCATAAGAAATTTGTAACACCCTTATCTCTCCCACGGCCTTAATAAATGATTTTATTTATTATTATTTTTCATACTCTTTCTTAGTTTATTTTTCTTAACCCCCTACTACCATTTTCTTTTTTCTCAAATATGCGTTTCACGGTCCAATTATCTGAACAATTCTTACTACGTTATCTTATAATTTTTTTATTTATGAATGTTATTTCAATCAAGATAGATAGTGGCTAGCGGTGGAACCCATGACGCGCATTTCGTCCTATTTGGGACCCGTCAGTTAGATGTACCTGCATTCAATAGTTGGTGTTCACTCTCGAACTCAAACCCAATACCGTTCGCTTCAAACGCCATCACGTTATCCACTTAGCTACTGAGTTATAAGTAAGTGAATAACGCGATGGCGCTTCAAGTGAACAATACTGAGTTGGAGTTCGAGAGTGAACATCAACTCTGAGATGCAGGTACATCTAACTGACGAGTCCCGAATAGGGTGAAACGCGCTTCCTGGATTTCGCTACTAGTCACTGTTCATCTTTGTTTATAGTGCTTGTAAATCAAGACAATGTCTAAGTAATACGTAAAATATGCACATATGCTAATAAGAGACTGATCAATTACAGTCTTAAATAACAATATAAAAATGCAAATAAATGACACCATGTGAATATGTTATTTCAGCGTCTATATTTTTCTAATGATTGACCTATTTTCTATTATGTAACACTGATTTAAGCCTTTATTATTCTTATCAAAACTAGTATACCTGTCATCATACTATCAATTTGTACTTTACACTTATTATGTTTATATATGAAATATATTCCACTGTGATTATTGACACATAAACTGCCATGATTGTTTTATTAATTTTGTATCTGTATATTAGAGTCAAGTCTGATGAAGATCTAATCGAGAACAATATTGTTCGCTAATATATATCGTTCTAAATCATAAAACATTCCTCTCATACTTGAAATATTAGAAATATATTACAGGTACATTCAGCTGACGAGTCCAAAATAGGACGAAACGCGCTTCCTGGATTCCACTGCTAGCTACTATCCATCTTATCATATATTTCATATATTTATATCATTACTAGCAAGCATATGAATTATCTCTTTGTTGAAAATTTCACCTAAATTTGTATCAGGTTTTGTTGGTATATGTGCAGTTTGTGAAGTTCGACTCGATATAGTCATTTTAACGAGTTTTATTAGAATAGATGAATTGCGGCTAACAGTTGAGAGCAGGAAGTCATGTTTCTTATTAGCTCAAAGTTCAGTCAAGATGATCAAAATCAGGACATTTTAAACCCTTTTTATTCATGATATAAAAATCATTCCCATTGCACATTTGGGTTGCAATCTTGACTTGATAGTTCAATGGATAACGGCTGGAGAGTTTGAAGCGAAAGTTACTCAACTCAAATCTCAATATGAACATTAATACTAAGATATTGTGTCTAATAATCTAACATTAAAACGTGGCTCAAACGTTGTCAAGATACTTAAACTATGGGTCACCTTGATACCTAATCAATACTAAACACTACAGAACTTGATATTACTTACTAATGATTAGTTACGTGTAATCATCTCGATTTATTAGGCGAGCAAAACTGAATTAAAATCTAAAGTTAAGTATTATTTAAGACATTGGTTAAATATCCTAGAAAAATGTCGTTTCTAGTCAGATTTCAGATACATTTTGTTGATGACTGGCCACTAATAAGAAATTTAAGTCAACCTCTAGCTTCCAGTTCCATCTTCTTAAACGTCTAACATAAAAATTAATAGTTTCTAATTTGTATACTTCCAGACAGAACCTAGAAAGTATTCAGAACAATAATAACTCCTAGAAACATCATAATATATGTAATGAGCAGAAAAATATAATCAGTAAACATATAAGCTTAGGAAACAAGATTGGCACCCTTTCAACACTTATGTAATAGAAGTAAAGTTTATTCATTTATTTATTTAGATAAGAATATTCTGTTTTGCAAACGTATTAGTCTAAAATGTAAGCCTTGCAATTAAATCATTTAGCTTAAAGAACACAATGTTGCTAAAATGATTCCACCTAGACTGTTAATCTTCTGTATTATTTTGATGTAAATTATTGGGTGAGACTATACACCTACTAATTAGGATTAATTGAGTGTTATAAAGCAGTTAGAATTCTCATTTACAGTTGATGATTAAGGCTAAGAATTAGATTTAGGATTTTCATCATGAACTGACATCAACTATAATGCCAAAACTCTATTTAGGGATCCAGTTAAACGTAACTTGATTTCGTAAACGTGGCAATCTGGTTAACGACCAATCAGAATGAAGTGGGAATTATTATATCCACCATCTTTGTAAGCAATGGTGGTCAGCTTTGTTCGTTCTGTGTTCTTTTTTTCCAGCTATTTCTTTTGTTTAGCTACATAATTTAATGTTTCAGTGTGCCAAAAATTACTTACTTTACTTACTTACGCCTGTTACTCCCAATCGAGCATAGGCCGCTGACCAGCATTCTCCAACCCACTCTGTCCTGGGCCTTCCTTTCTAGTTCCATCAATTCTTGTTCATTTTTCTCATGTCTATCTCCATTTCCCGGCGTAGTGTGTTCTTTGGTCTTCCTCTTTTCCATTGGCCTTGAAGACTCCATGTGAGGGCTTGTCTTGTGACGCAGTTCGGTGCTTTCCTCAATGTGTGTCCTATCCACTTCCAGCGCTTCTTCCTGATTTCTTCCTCCGCTGGGATCTGGTTTGTTCTCTCCCACAGTACGTTGTTGCTAATAGTGTCCGGCCAACAGATCCGAAGTATTTTGCGTAGACAATTGTTAATAAACACCTGTATTTTCTGGATGATGGCTTTTGTAGTTCTCCAGGTTTCTGCCCCATATAGTAGAACTGTGTTGACATTTGTATTGAAAATCATGACCTAAGTGTTGGTTGACAGTTGTTTTGAGTTGCAGATGTTCTTCATTTGTAAATATGCTGCTCTTGCTTTGCCGATCCGCGCCTTCACATCCGCATCAGATCCACCCTGTTCGTCAATGATGCTGCCCAAATACGTAAAGGTTTTTACATCTTCCAAATCTTCTCCGTCAATTGTGATTGGATTGGTGCATACTGTGTTGTATCGGAGAATCCTGCTTTTCCCTTTATGTATATTGAGACCTATTGCTGCTGAGGCTGCTGCCACACTGTTCGTCTTCTCCTGCATCTGTTGTTGCGTTTGGGATAGAAGGGCCAGATCATCTGCGAAGTCTAGATCATCCAACTGCATCTTAGATGTGCCAAAAATGCCACAGTTAAATAAATACTCTAAATGTTGACTGCTGCTACTATTCAAGTCATTATATTTCTTCAGACAAGCTTGCTAGTCTTATGTTATAAAATGTTAATCCGGTTTGTTTTGAGTACTTTTTTTAGATATAGAGAGCCAAAGTTAGTTTTTTTTTTCCAGCTAAAATAAGTGTTGCTACAGAATGGGACTTTAACTATTTGTATATTCGTTCCTAACTGTCAGATAAGTTCGCTAGTCTTATTTTATAAAATGTGAATCGGTTTTGTTTTGAGCACGAATTTCGTCCCAAAAAAATTCATGACTCGTTATCTTATATCTGATTGGTTCATTCATAAATTATAGTCTCATTGATAAAATCTATATAAATGTTTCTCATTATATCCTTTTTTTTTCAAAAGAAAAAATAGATACACATATGTCTATGCTGAAGATCAAATGAATCTTATCTACCGTCAATATCCAACTGATAATCTACCATCTGGTAAATATTACTATATAAATTTAGTAGAAAACTAAGTTTGAATTATGTATTCTAATCTATTGTTATATTGTTTGAAGTATTATTCATCGAACGTGTAGATCTAGTGAGCTTGTAGTGTTGATTACTATATTAAGGCCAATATAACTTATTCCTTCACAAACCTGGGAAGCATCATCGATGAACAAGGAGGATCAGATGCAGACGTAAAGGCGAGGATTCGCAAAGCAAAGGCCGCATTCCTACAATTAAAGAATATATGGAACTCAAAACAACTGTCAATTAATACCAAACTCAGGATATTCAATATGAACGTCAAAACAGTCATACTATACGGAGCTGAAACGTGAAGAGCTACTACAACCATGATCAAGAAGGTACAAGTATCTATAAATAGTTGTCTAAGCAAGATACTCAACATCCATTGGCCGTATATCATCAGTAACAGCCTACTGTGGAAGAGATCAAACCAGGTTCCAGCTGAAGAAGAAATTAGGAAAAGACGATGGAAATGGATAGGACATACATTACGCAAATCATCAAAGTGCATCACGAGACAAACCCTGAAGGGAAACGGAAAACGGGAAGGCCAAAGAACAAATTACGTCGAGAAATCGAAGCAAATATGAAAAGGATGAATAGGAACTAGAAGGAGCTAGAAAGGATTGCCCAGGACAGGGTTGAATGGAGAATGCTGGTGTTTGGCCTATGCTCCTTCACAAGGAGTAACAGGCGTAAGTAAGTAAGTAACTTATTCAAACTTCTGAACAAGTCAATTTATTCATTCTCCTTGAGTTACATTTTGATTTTGTTAATTAATCACTTGATTCATCTTGATTGTTTTTATGTAAGAGTTTGTGTGCACACTACACATGACATGTTTGTAGCTTAATTTTGTGAGACTATAAATATCAATTAACGGTAGACCAAATGAAGTTGGCTCACACACTTTCTCAACCGTTCATCATTTCACTTCGCTCACTTCCCTTCGTTTCTCCGATTGTCTGTTCAGATCAATGATTGTACAATATACACGTATTCAAAACGTCATGCTCGTATCACTATCATCATCATCATCATCATCATCATCATCATCATCATCATCATCATCATCATCATCATCATCATCGTCATCATCATCAGCATCATCATCATCATCATCAGCATCATCATCATCATCATCATCATCATCATCATCATCATCATCATCTTCTTCTTCTTCTTCTTCTTCTTCGTCTTCTTTTCCTACTTTCCAGACAGTTATAATCGTTTTTTATTTTATAGATCATTACCTCTCATTACTTACAAAACTATAATATAACGTAAGCTCTTAGTAGTTTAATGATACGTTAGAAACTAAATCTTTATTTCAGTGCCGTTCAAGTAATTCAAATCATACTACAAAATTGCTATATCACAAATATAAATATCATCCTTTTTTAGCGTTAACATTCATGGTACATATCGTTTGATAAAATTGTGCTCATATGAAAACATATAGCGTTTAGAATTTATGTTTTCAATTCGTTTTGAATTAGATCGTCTCCTGTAAACCTATGATCGATTTGTCGAAAAATGGTGACATTGTTACGTGCACACTTTTGGTTGAATCAGTAAATAACCAAACAATTTTATTAGCGTTCGTTATAATGATAAATTAGTAAGCCAACAAAAAAAAGAATAATCGAAAACCTGAAATCATTGGAAGGTCATTTCGTCTTAGTATAGGACTAAACAGCAGTGTGCATTCACGGTTCCAGACGCGAGACTCGAACTCAGGACCTTCAGTCCATCGTGCGAACACCCAACCTATATATATATGTTCCTCAATGTGTATACTATCCACTTTCAGCGCTACTTCTTGATTATTTACTCCTCTTGGATCTGCTTCGTTCTCTCCCACAGTAGGTTGTTACTGATAGTGTCTGGTCAACAGATGGATGGACGTATCATATATGAAAGGTCGAATACATAATTACCAATTATGTAAACGAACACCCCATATATATAACACTATAGTTTGACTGATTATAATATTATATCTATAAATTTCATTCGTTCGACATTCTATATGGTGATATTGTTATTAATAGTTGATGTGTTCTCTTATTTTCTCTTCGATCAGTAATATCAAAGTAGAGGTTAAGTAAATGATTTCGTCGAAAAGAAAATTTTCTTCACTAAATTGTCTTCTTCTCATTCAATGACACTATTACTTTCTTACTTATTTACTTACTTATGTCTGTTACTCACAATGGAGTATAGGCTGCCGATCAGCATCCTCCAACACACTCGGTCCTGTGCATTCCTTTCCAGTTCTATCCAATTTTTGTTCATTCTTCTCACGTCTGTCTCCATTTCTCGGTGTAAAGTGTTCTTTGGTATTCCTAACCTCCTTTGGCCTTGACGAATTCAGGTGAAGGCTTGTCTTGTGACACTGTTAGCTGCTTTTCCCAATGTGTGTCCTATCCACTTCCAGTGCTTCTTCTTCATTTCTTCACCCGCTGGGATCTGGTTTGTTCTCTCGATGGTTGCGTGCTGCGTTGTATGGGAGAATATTGCTTTTCCCGTTGTGTATATTGAGATGTACTGCTGCTGAGGCTGCTGCTACACTGGTCGTCTTCTCCTGTGATTATTCAAAACTCATCTATCTTCATTAAATTCAACCAACTAAATTGTTTCAAGAAATAGTTTACAACTAACAAAGAAAAGAAAACTTTATTCTCACAAATAATACAAAAGACGCTCAATTGATAATATTTATCGCTCCTTGTTTCCAAACTTTCTTTAATAACCATATATCTTTGTATTTATGCTTGGGGTGGTTGAAAAATTAAGCTTCTGACATTGTTCTCTAATGAAAATCTAAAAACAAAACGTCTTCACATTCTTAAACATTCATTTCCGTAGGGCAGAACGATACTTTGCATGGTATTATATACACACAAATTTATTAGTAAATAGTTGTACATGGTATAAATATTACGTAATACAACTTTAAACTGATTAGATTTCTATCTCATACGTTTACCCTAAAGGGACATTTCATTTAAACATTTGAAGTAAATAAGCTTTATCATGTAAATCAGATATAGTAAGTACATTGATTTATTGAATAGTTTCAGTAAACTGTATTTATCATTTTAACGACAACATAAAAGTAACATTATAATGTTTAGGAACGAGTTTTGTTCTCTGAGCTGAATGGTTTGCTCGTGGAGCTATCATCATTCTTCTGAACGACATCATCAGCACAAGCTTCAGGTAGAAGTGAAGTGTTTGAATTTCTCCATATGTGGTTCACAGGTTTAAGATCAACAAGAACTAATCGACACTGAGGTTTACAAGATAAGCTGTGAATCACATGTGAAGAAATTCGAATCCTTCACTTCTATTTGAAGTTTGTGCTGATAATGTCGTTCAGAAAAATGTTGAAAGCTCTACGATCAAACTATCCAGCTCAGAGAACAAACTCTATCCAAATCATCCACCTGACCTATAAATTCTCTCCGCCATCTCAACATTATAATGTGTTAGTATAAAATGAAATAATAACGATGAAAAAGTAAAACTGACGTCATTATCAAATTGATTCGAATGTTTATTTTTTTATTACAGACTAATCTTAGGAAGCCACTGAAATTTTAAAAGTACTGAACGTTGCACTATCTTAGCATAGAATTCAACAATAATTATCTACGACTTAATTCGAGATCTAATTCACGACCTTCGATCTCGCGACAAATGTTTAACCAGTGGAATACTTGGCCGTCACCTGAAGGCGTATATGCTTAACTTCAATCATTCAGTGATATTGAGCTGCAATCTCTTATAGCCTGCGGTGGATAACTGTCTCATGCTTAATATGGTTGTATTAAGGGACAGATAGATATCAAAATGACATAGATAGATATAGATAGATAGAGAGAGAGAGAGAGGGAGAGAGATTAAATTTGTATTTATTGTCATTAGAATTAGATCAACAATTCTAAGTATATGGGGTGAATGGAGGAATATTTTGACATTATCATCTACGGTATTGGATTTAAATTGGTGGGTAAGTATTTATAGATCAGTATAAGGGTTTTGAAGGTTTCGGCTAGATAGCTTGATTGTGGCACTATCTTGACACCATCATCTGGACACTTTAATAAGAACAGAATTATTGGAGTTTTTTCATATCTGATTAGCAGCTTTTTATGACTTAGAATTTTTTTGTTCTTGTTCACAGACTTGTAGGCATCGTTTTCATATTAGTTTTGATAATTTCCGTCTCTGATTTTAGAGTCGTTTGTTCTTTCACACATTGACTGATATTCTGAGTAAATTACGATTGTAGTAACACTTACGATTAATTTTCATAACGGTCAAGCCCTTTCATCTGACAGACAATGTTATCGACATAGTAATAATTTCTTTATTTCTTTGTATTAGTAGAATTGCTATCATACTCACGTAAACGTGTATATTTAAACGCCTATTACAGCCTGTCTAACTCAAAATTTGATCGCTTAAATATAGCTTCCTCCATACATATGTGCTTGTGCTATAAAAATAAACTGTACTTTGATTTGCCGTGCCTTTATTTGATATGACTATAAATTTGCCTCTAAATTAGCTTGCAATGATTCATTGGTCTTTTCGCTTCTAATCCGCTTGATATGTTTGTAAGTCTATGGTTCGCGTGATCAGCTAATAAATTGTAGTCGCAGCTTCTTATCGCCTTTTGAATTCAATCCCGTGAGGCCATCATAGTAACGGTTATCAGGGTGAACTTTTAACGAAGCTACGCGCACTACACGATAAGTATATTGAGTGATGTGTGACAAGAGTACGAGGCCTCTAAATGTTCTCTGGATTTCTTTGTATTTTGTTTGTCTAAAAGCTCAACGTTTTCCAAATTAGACTCTTTTCAATAGTTTTGCACACGCATTGACATTAGTAAAATTGTCTCATGGTGTTTAACAAATACCTGATGTTCATACAGAGCAATGAAGTTGAAGGATGCTTTATCCTTTTTGGTGCTCCTCGCCAATAATGCTTGGTTGATTTTAGCTTGCTGTTGTGTCTTTTGTCCTGCATAATATTGAATGTATAAGTTCTGTGAGCTTAGTTTATTGTCAGACTCCGTTTCCAATGTGAATTTCATATCACCAGAAATCTTCTTGACCAGAATGTAAGTATTTCCTATTATGATTTTTTATGATTTTCACCCGTTTTAAACAATGATATCGAAGATGCTTTTATTTTCTTATTAAACTTTCAATAGACTAATAAACCTCTAATTCATCGACACTTCAACTGAGATTCAAGTTTATTTCGTCAGGTTAGGTAAGCTATTTTGATACTGATTTGTATTTCACAAATATGACATACGATCTTAAGCAGAAATAGATGGTAAATAGTAGTGAAATCCAGAATGCTCGTTGCTGTTTAAATGTTTGTGGCTCAATGGAAATATCGGAAAAATCCTCACAGGATACACATGTATCAAGATAGACCGAATGATTCCGGTCCTAAGCATCATTGGGAGAATCAAAACAACTAATATTTATGAATCATGACCTAAAATCACTTGCTATGATGGTCCAGACACTTCTCTGGTACATTACATTTATAAGCAACATATTCTTTCATTTTTAAAATCTCATTACATTTATCTGAACCGTCACTCCATCATGGTATATACCCATATTTCAGTGTGTTATGGGCTGTAAGCAGCTGATGAAATTACGCTGTAAGTTGAACCTCGTTTCACAACATGCATATATTATTTCATGTTTATAATAAAAAAATGCAGATTCCTTCAATTAATTCACAGTGCAACAATCAATATTGTATTAGATAAATTTTGTAACTAAAAGCTTAAATCGGTTTCCTAAGCTCTTCTAATATCTCCAGGCTAAGTCTACACGACAACTTGAAAACGAGAGAAAAGGCGCAAAATATGAAAAGGACACCTTACTCCAAAGTTCATTCATATACAGAAAATTGAGGGTATTTACAGTATTTCCGATGGCCTTGTGCTTCTGGAAAGTTCTGAAACCCTACTAAACATAATAGCAGGATAGGTAATCATTCATATGACTTTTCACTTTCTAGATGTTTCTAAGACACTTCTATTCAATGTTGATTAGATAAAATGTTTTCCAGATTATTCAGGGCTCTTTTGAACTTTTTTCGAAGAATAATCTTGATCTCCCAAATAGTATTTACAGATAAAAAATATACTTAGATCAGTGGAACACTAATAGTAGACAATATATGATATTGTGGTGCGTGCTATTTATATTGATGTA